AAGGTGAATAAAATAATTTATATATATCCTATCTTGGAATCTTGTTTTAAATTTTCAATCCTTAGATATAAAAGTTGAACATTTTATAAATTTTTAACTACAAAATAATTATTCAATTTTAAATTTGATAAATTTTGTCAAAATTCGATCTTTAATGCTTATAAAAAAAATTGTGCCAATGTATTTTTAATATTTTTCAACTGATATTGTAACAATATATCAGGAGCCTTGTATTAAATTTTTACACTTTTTGGCACAACAGATAAAACTTTATTGATATTTATAGAAAAAAAAACTAAAAAAATTTCCGTAAACAGCTCAAAAAGAGTCAAAATATTTTCAAAATTCTATGGTGTATAGGAAATCCTAAAATATAAACATTCACTGAAATTTTCAAGTATCTACAGTCATTCGTTTTTAAAATACAACAAAATAAGAAAATCGCTACATGAGAAATCGATTCAAACGCTCATAAAAATATAATTTGACCTTACAGACATTTTTTTTTTTTGATAAAGGTAGATAATCTTATAAGGAATCTTTTATTACATTTTCATATCTTAGATTTAAAATGAAAAATTTTTATGAATACTTAACTCAAAATATTTTTTATTTTGTAATTTTTCCATATTTTGTCAAGATTTGAACTTTAAAATATGCTTATAAAAAAAAACTGAGACTAAGAATTTTTAATATTTTTCAAACGTCAATGTAACAATATACGTAGTATGAGCCTTGAATTGAATTTTCAAGTATTTTTACTCAACAAATAAATTTGTATTGATATTCATAAAAAAAAAAAACTAATAAAATTGGAAACTGAAAATGTCCCAAAACAGTTCAAAATAAATCAAAATATTTTTAAAATGCTATCGTGTAAACAATATAAGCAACCAGTGAAAATTGCATGTATCTACGGTCATTTGTTTTAAAGTTACACCAAAAACCAAATTCAATTTTGTGAAAAATCGATTTTGCTTAAAAATTGCCGTTTTTTCCTTAATTTTTCTTTTGTTTTTCTTGGCGCTTTTGAAAATTACTGGGATTTTTAAATTTTGATCTGCTCGATGCACCAACGATATTCACTTTCCAATCGAACAAGATACTGAAGTTGAAAATCGAAGCATTATTGCGACTACTAATCGTGTACACAGACACATTAAAAAAATTAAAATTAAAACAAAAAAAAAAAACACATCATTGTAAAATCAATACATTCATCGTTCCACTCAGAAACTAAAATACCAAAAGTTACATAATTAACTTACTTGCTTGAGAAGTAATACTAAAATTAATAGTAAAAACATTGGAGAAAAGTTCATTTTTAATTTGTTAAAAAAAAGTATTAAATAATGTTGTTCATTTTATCTATACTATGTCAGGTACTTAAATTAAATACCATTAAATGAACAACATATTATAACATGTAATACAAATTAAATTTAAAATATAAATAATTAGATATATTAATGAATATCAGTGAACAATTGATATTTTTCTAAATTAATGAATATGTTCAAAAACAACTTATAATTGCAAATAACCTAATAACTAATTATAATTTATAATTGAATTGTTTCGTTAAACTAACATTATAATAATAAGGTGCACATGCGTTGGTATAGAACTACTCTTTGTTACAGATTCCATTATAGAACATGTGCAAATTTGTTATTAAACAAATTTAATAATTTATCAATTTCCACAATAGTTGAAGTACCTGCAGGGTATTTAATTACTTTTCCGGCATAATCATACATTTTTTACCATGCACATTATAGGTAAATAATATTATACGAGAAATTATTTAATAACACAATATCGTTATTTGTTCGATAATTACTCGACATTGATACTTCTAAATTATTGTAATAAAGCTGTATAATTTTTAGCCTGGATGGTAATTTAATATTTATTTGTTTCTTTCGATGTTTTGACATAATAATATGCAATATTGTTTATTTTAATTTGACACAAAGATTAATTAAAAGGACGCTCTTAAAAGTGCGTAACACAAAAAATTGACGGTCATTAGATCACTTTTAGTTCAGTTAGTTTCAAAATTAGAGTGTAATCTATTATAAAACTTGATGGTAAAAATATTATCTGTGTTTGTATGTGGGTTTTTTTACGATAAATCAGTTTTTAAGTGAGGTATGAGCATTTTTAATTTAAGCTATATTATATACACAAAACTTGCTAAAAAATCGTAAAAACTAACCCATGTGAAAACACGGATAATGTTGTTACATACCATCAATAGTTTCATATTAGGTCGATTCAATCTAATTATTAAACTTACGAAGGTAAAAGTGATCTGCTGAGCATGAATAATTTTTTATATTAAGCGCCTGTAAGACGGAGACAACGAATGACCGTGTTTAGCGTCCTCTTAATTATATTTAATGGCTATGGTTTGAAGTATTCAACGTTTTCGGCGTGAATACCAAACATTTTAAATCATAGAAACTTCATGATTCTCAAACCAATATACCTAATGTACGTAATAATATTATATACCAGAGTTGGCCAAACCGTGGCTCGTATCTTAAAATTTTTACAAATATGGTTATAAATAATAATAATAATAATAGGTAGCAGGTACCTATTATTCCTTTTTTCCTGCCCGCTGACCACCCCTGACAATATGTAGGTACATACGAAGAACTATCGTAGTGGTTATTGTGTTCTTATGGTTTTATTATTTATGTAGTTGGTACATTTTATTCCTATATATAGAATATAAAAAACCGTTAAACTTTTTTCATTTAAACAAATTTTAATGAAACTCGTCATAATTTCGATAGATATTGTTAAAGTGGCTATTTCACAAAAATTGTCGCGTTTTTTGATTTTGAGAAACTTGAAGAGCTTTATTAACAACTACCGCAGTCAAACGAATAGTTGAATTAAGTATTCTATGACTAATAATATTATATAATACTCTCACGCCTTGTTCGAGTCTGTCGGGCACCAATGGCAAAACCGTGTATTTAATTCGCACTCGAAATACTAAATTGAGTGTATTGAATTACATACCAACATATTGGTAATATACGACTATTATTATATTATTTGGAAATAGATGCATTTTAAAGTCAACTTAATACAATTTCATTAAATTCATATTCGTGCCCAACAACTACTATAAAATTGATTTTGCTGGGCCGTGTGTGTGCATCTCATACACAAAAGTGTTCGCAATAATAAGAACTTAATTTAGTAATTTCGACATGCCGTTTATCTCAAAGCAGGCATGTCAAACAGCGGCCATCGGCTCATTTGTTTATTGTGCCCGCGAATAGCAGAACTATGAGGAACAATGAGTTATAAAAATAAATTAATAAAACAAAAATAATACAATTTTCATTTCTTATCACAACATTGTTAGTGAGAGGTATACATTATGTTACTTTTCTGTCTCATCGTCTGATAAACCGTGATAGAATAAATTAGTATTGTTACAGTAATGAATAAAATTAAAAATTTGTATAAAATGTTTTATTTTTTTTGTGACGCCTGAGCCGAAAGTTTGATCTTCGATAGCGGTGGAAGCGTTGGGAAGCGTCCTTTTTCCATCCAGTGGGCGGTAAAGTGGAAATCCCAAAAAGTGCCGGGTAATAAAATGGAAATCACCAAACGTGCTGGGGGCACATATCACTCGCGTATCTCCTGCACAATCAAACATTGAAATCCATACCATGGTCCTTACCAAACATACATTTTTGATCAGATCTTATCTTATATTCATATTATAACCTCCATGCGTGATGCTTAAAATAAATAAAACCAAATCGTTTCTTTCGTGAAATATTTTTGTCGTAGAATTATAGTCTAGTTGTTGCGTAGATCCTTGCATTACCTTTTCAGTGATCGATAAATGCAGAGGCGTGACAAAAAATAGCATGTGTGACTCATACGGGAAGGCAATTTTGGTCTTGGGCGAAATGCGGCCCTCACCTGAGTGTTCACGACTGAAATAGCTCACTTCCCGCCCTTGCCACACAATATACTATTGTCTATACGTTTTTTTGATTAATAGTAATAGTAAACTATTAAACACAAAAAATGTCAACAACAAAATCAGGTGCACTAAGTGCCCCTCTCTTCCCGTTAAAAAATAGTGTATAAAGGATTTAACAGTCCATTTTTAGTTATAGTGGTTACATTTGCATAAGTATGGTCATAAAACTGACCACGGTCTGTTAACTAGTTAATCTGTTCTATCAAAAAACCCCGAAAACAGTTCAGATACTTTTAAATTATCATTGACTATACGAAAACATACTGATACTTGCTCTATACATGAATTTTATTTGTTATTTCATCCATATATTTGGCCCAGTTAATACTTTGAGTTTTACATGACTGTCTTAAAGGGATGAGGTGAGCATTATATCAATAATGTACTATAATTCCTCGTAACAGTTTCTTGTTGGTCGAAGGTATAAGATTAAACATAATAATATGACAAACCATAATTGTACGACAATGTATACAACTGCTGACTGCTGTTACGTGTGCCAAATGAATAATGGCATTGCACGTTTAGTAAAAAAATTGGATTTAAACCATTTACCAATATTATTGTAGGTACACACAACTTCATTGAAAGACATTATACTTTAAGTGTCGAACTCTACGCATAAGCTGCTACAACTACAATCTGAAGGTAAAGAGCTCCATAAACATTAACGAGCAGTGAAATTTTCTGGTCGGACACTGCATCGATGACTACAACATCCGCATAGGTGATAGGTTTTGCCGGTGTTTTGTGGTTCGTTACTGTTGGCCACCAGCTATTGATACTATATACCACGATTTAAGGAGTTCCAGATAAAATAATATATTCAAAATATAATAACGAAATTAAACCAGTAAAAAGGTGCATTTAAAAAAAACAAACTAACCTAAAACCAAAAATTGTTTTTACTACTATCGAATTTAAAAATGCTGGAAAACAAATCATTAAAACCGTTACAATATAATATAGGTAGGTATTACTTTAATTTTTTTTGACGATTATTCTTTTGTCTCAGTTTCCTCAGTTTGTGACTCAATTCCCAGCTGGTTATTTTATTTTTAACTGCCGTCTTGAAACGATGGATCTTTGACTTTTTTTGTTTTCTCAACTTCTTATCCAGTTGATATTTAGTTACTTCTTGTCTTATAGTATCTTGTATAAATTGTGGCGTAATACGTTTTAATGGTTTTTTAGAAAATTTCCAGGCAAGTCTAATAATAATTTTAAAAGGAATTTTCGCAAGACTCCAAATAAACTTAGTAGGTACTTTTATACATTTCCAAGCGATCTTTCCACCTACCATAATTGGGATTTTGATCAATTTAAGACTTACATCTATAGCCAAGTTAGCTCCGCCTTCAATCATACGTGCTATTAACGCATCCGTTTCATTCTCCTTAAAAAAAAAATAAATAAATACTTGTATGAGTTTCCCAAGTACAATTGTACTTAGTACTATTACATAATACGAATTACCGTGAGTACCTAAATTCAAAATCGTAAACAACCATAGTACTTTGCATAATAACAATAACGTAAAAAACATATACAATTGTACGAACACAAATCACAAGCATAACATACGAATTCACACGTGTTCTTTTGTATTTTCCATTTTATTATACTAAAGTAATCCAGTTTAATATAATTATGTATATAAAATAATATTATATTATATTTATATGGAAACTCTATTGAGCGATATTGATTTAGATTTAGAATTAGTTCAATTCACTCCCTTACGTATAAATATAAAATTATAGTTATACAAAAAAGTGTGCGATTATCAACTTACTTGTGTTAAATAAAAAACTACCGCTGACAATGCAAATATCCTGATTAGTTTCATTTTAAATGTGTTTAAATAATCATAAAATCCGATTCAACTATGATAAATGTATAATATGTTTTACTTCAAGTAGGTACATCTAAAACGACGATCACCTATTACGAACATTGGGCATAATTTATTACAAATGTCATGAATTTTTCCGAATAACATTTACTATAACAATAATAACAAGTAGGTAGGTAATTAAACAAACACAGTCTACTAAACAATTATGGAACAGTGCAAACTCGTACGGCATTTGGAAGGCTTTATAAATACCTCAATCAACAATATAAAGAGAACATATGCATGTCATATTTAGTTTTAAAACGAATAATTTTATTTAAAAATGATGAATGGAAATATCAGCATGAGTGTGATACTTTTGTGTAATGACAAAGACGTCAATATACTTATTAAAAAGACGACATCAATGATGAATAATGATTATAAAATAGGTAGGTAGATATTGAAACAGTTTGTGTTCTTATCAGATAATTGTTTTATTATATTTATTTTTGTCCACACTTACATACTTACTATAAATAATTTTAATAATATCAAAAAGTACCTACAGTTAATTAACAAGGTTATTTTGACAATCTAGCCTATCCTCTTGATTTCTGAAAGTAAAATAACATATCTTTACTAAAACTGGCTAGGCTAAAATAATCGACAATGATTTTTTTAAACTAAATTTAAAGCATCATTTATAGAACAATGTATTATTATTTTTTTTTTAACTATAACATGTATATATTATAAAGATTTCTGTATCTATATTTATTTCATATGAATTAGATATAATAAACTAAAAATATTTTTAAAAAAAACGTTATGTTTAGGGATTATTATTATTAAGAAAGTTCAATACACATTATTTGTCGACAATTTGTATAAGTTCCGTAAAATATTGAATAAGCTATGTAGGTACTTTTATATTATAAAAAAATACAATATTATATTAACTGAATGAAGCCTTTGTCTTTTACGGCATGTGAGAAGGTCCATCGGAAAATAGGAATTTTGAAATCGAAGAACGAAAACAAATAAAATGACAAGTGAAAATGATTTTCCATAATTCAACGAAACAAGTATTTCAAACCTTATACAAATACATTAAAACAATTAGAGATGAACAGAATGCATAACATATTACTGGGCTTGGTAAAATTTACGTTTACTCGTTCAAGTGCATTGCAATAACGAATTATTAAATTTTAAATATTTCTAGGTCTATTAAATGCTGAACATTTTGGTTAAAAATTGATTCCATTATTGTCACAATTTATTTTAATTTATTTTTCATATATTCATATATGTATCAGATATATATATATTATATACTCAAAGATTCAAAAATCGACTTGTTTAAAAACTATCGATTTGAAAATTTGAAAATTGTTCAATAATTTTATATATTGTATAGAGTGGCCAATTTATCGAGGGCAATATGAACTTTAAAAAAATATTGTTATAGTATTTTGTGTTTTCTAAAATAGCCAATATGAGCGAAACTGAAATTATCAATATAAAAATTTCAGCAGAGCTACTGATTATTTTTGTTAAAATAAATAATTTGTACAAAATAGAAATAAAAAATTAATGATAATAATGTAGAAAAAAATTATTAAAATTATTTTACTTCATATACCTACTGCTTGAACATTTTTTTTATATCTGGTCAATTGTATTAGTTTGTTTCGCAGTTTAATTTAAATTGTTAAAATATTGGAATTTAAAATTAAATGAATTTTTAATAAAAAAAAAAGGTTCAAATAATACATACATTATTGTACATAACATTAAATAATTAAAAACCATACTGAAAATTTAATAATAATTACAGACTCTTAAAAAACATGACGGGATTCAAATATCTGAAGAGGTTATGTTCGTTTAGTTAATTGTTCGCATAACTGAAGGTAATACAATAAAAAAAAGGTGGCTTGGCGAGGCGCGTTGGCTGCTACCAGTCGCGGAATACAGCTACTAGCTCCCGGATGGGTGACCACCCGGGTTCATAGTAGTTAAAAACTTTGCCACGCATACATGAGTTTGCCACCTACTGTATCATTCGTAACAGTCGTAAAAACAACATACCGTACCAACCTTACCCCTAAAACAGCTTAGTAGCCGGTTTATTTTTTAACATTATAAACTAGGTGCATTTATCATGGTGGTAGGAATATAATGGAGTATAAAATTAATATAATTATTAATTAAATAAACATCAAAGTAATACTTGGTTTAATATTTATTCAAAAAGTAATAACAACAAAATTCACAAAGAAACTGTAACGTATAGGTAGGTACGCGACGAAGCTTCGTTAGTTAAGAATATACTTAACTTTATCATGACGAAAGTAGATGGATAAGCGAAACCCAAGGTTTTCCGCGTAATTTACGTCTTGTAGTTATTATTTTTTGTGAAGATGACATGTATAAATTATGTTATCCAATTTTGATTTGATAATATTTATTAAATTATAAATAAAATGAGTACCGGAATGTTTGAACCCGGTATAGAATATGGCGTGATGAAACATACATATACAAGAGCACCGATTTTTCCATGTAGGGAAAACTTTATAGAACTAGATGAAGCCATGAAAAAAATTAAGGATAGGGAAATAACATTACGTGAGGCCGCAGTCCAAGGAATAGCTGATCATCGAGGTATCAATCGATGTAACTGCAAAACTGGTTGTGACACTAAACAATTTGCTTTCAATGCGGTTTAAAATTAATCACTTACCAACAATAAATCATTTTTAAATAGTACCTATACTAAAACCATCAATATTATTTTAGATGTATCATCATTTATCACCAGTTTTGGTCTAACTAACGAAGCTTCGTCGCGTACCTATACACTTACACATTCACACCGACATAAATGTATTGAACATCAATCTTCAACTAAACTGGGAATAACCGGGAAATGTCTACATTTTCAACATTTACCACGTTTACATCAATCACCGTAACATAATATAATATCATAAATCATAAAAATTAACGTGATAATAATAAATATTATACAAGTTAACAAGATAAAAGATAAATGACCGGACGCAATATTAAAAAGGTAATAAGGTAAATAGGTAGCTAATAAAGAATATAATATTATATTGCATAGTTTGTTTATTTTATAATTTATCCATTTTAATTATTACGCTAATAATAATTTGGTATCAAGGACAGTTTTATACCACCTTTTTTGTATACAAGTCGGAAGTTTATTCCAACTGTTCATCTTCATTTTGATATTTAATCCTCCCAGTGTACGACATTTCATTTGATCAATTCCCCAACGAAAACATTTTATACCATGTCGGATGTGTTTCTGTAACCACTTCATAAATCTTTTCAAGTTTGACGGAAGATTTCTTATGGCATTGGCAAAGCGTTTTCCTTTAGCAAAATATTTTGAATCTTGAATTCGTTTTGTTGTTCTAATTATAAATCCTTTTTTTGGGCTGTTTGCTTCGTTTTGAACCTTGAAAATTGTTCATTGCATATTAGCAAATTTCATAAATTATTAATAATAATAATTGTAAAATAGTATAATTGTTCATCGGTAATAGTGACACCGAAGACATTGTCGATATAATTTTATACACATCGTTTATTTGTAAAAGAGAGTAATTCAAACAAATATAAATCTAATAAGGGATTTTTGAAGTCAATACTTAAGTATATTTTAATTCAGATATTAAGTTTGAAAAATATTAATCGTGTTTATCAATCCGATATCGTCTTGATTCATAAAAATATATTAAAAAAGAAATTTTGGAAAAAATAATCCTAACTTTGATTATAAGAATAAAAAAGTGGAAGTCACTCTTCTGTACAATCGGTTTTAATTGGGTCACTGTAATGGATGGTGTTAAATCTAGATAAATCAATTCATCTATATTCGGTTATTTTTTTTAGAGTTAAACTGAAAAACGGGCATACGTAAACTGCGCCCGAATTATTATCCATGTCAAAAATATATAATGTAAGCTGCGCCCAAATTGTTATCTATAATGTCACAGAAACTATTTTTGTCCAAAAAAACAAAAATCAGAGTTATCAAATTACTATTTGAGTAATACTACAATTGATAGTTATTACTGTATCCGGCACAGGTCTACTAGTACCTATGTCCTATACCGTACAACTCATTAAAATATTTTTATGTTTATAGAAAAGTTAAAATAAATTCAAATAGAAACAAAAATAAATAGTATTAATTAAAAATGAAATAGTAAAAATTAACCCTTTACATATCAAAATATTCTAAAACAAAAAAAAAACGTGAAAAGTTACAAAGTTTAGTTCATAAATATAATGGTGGTGAAGAGGACGCAGTGGCCGAGCGGACTAAGGCGTCGGTTGTGATTTTGCAAAAATATATTAATACCTACTGACTTTTAAAATTTGACCCGGGTGCAGTTTACATATTACCTTTTTACACTTGATAAGAACTTGGTCTCAATTTACATGTGTGATTTTATGTTAATCCGTACGTTGGGCGCAGTTTAGAATAGCCGTAAAAACAAAATCAATTTTTTTTATTTGTTTATGCGTATAAGCTTTTCAATAATATTTTGTTTGTGTTTCTATACGTTTTTGAAAACTATTAGACATTTTTTATCCCTCAACCCCCCCCTTCCAAAGTACCAACTAGATTAACTTTCCTACCAGAAAAAAATGATGTTGAGGAAAATTTAATCATTTTTACTCTCCTAGAAGGCGATGACAGGTACAAAAAAAATTAAAGCGAAAAAACACTCATCATTGTAAAATCAATAATCTCCGTTCAGAATATAATATTTAGATCCTTGGAAAATGTACTGAACAATATCCACGAGTGTATAACAATAATGTTTAGATATAAAATAAGTATGACAAGTATCTATTTAAAATTAAAACGTGATTATTGAATATGTAATAGGTAATTTACAAAACAATATTACTTAATATATTATAATTCTCTTAATTTATATTTTGTGACCATCTGCGAATTTTAAATATAAAACTAGCTATTTCACGAAAACTTACTTGACACACATTTAATGATAATATCATTATCATTATTAAACAAATCCACGTGACAATCATTTTAGGTTTACTTATGAGCTACACTTAGTTATCAACATTCATAAAATATCAAAGAGATGTAAATAGTTTAGTAACATACTAACGTACCTAACTATACTGTTTTAGTATTTTAATATCAGGATATTTAATTAATGATATATTATATTATACAATGGTATTTAGTTATTTTATTTAGGTACATAATATTATACGTGCAAGTGTGACACATTTGAGTTTGATAAATGGGTACCATTTTATAACATTATAACAACAGTTGATCCATGATATTATATAGCCATATAGGTATCAATCATTAGAACTAGCATAATTACCTATTTAAAGCATTTTAAAAGTTACGTCATAATGATCATTATAATATGAGCTGTATTTATTTGTATTGTCTATGTAAGGTCTGTGCATATTATTTAGGTATTATATTATTATTGTTATAATATTAAATGTTATAGGTTACGTTTTTTTTTTTTTTTATACAATAACAAACTGTTAAGTGCTTATAATAATTGTGCCATACATTTTTAAATATTTAAATAATAAATATTTTTTTAATCCCCTCTAACCCATGACGATAAGGTAAAGAGGTAAGCCTCTGCAATACAATTCAAACATCTTCCACTACCAGTGTTTGGAAAGAACGAGTTCCAAAAGGAACGGATTCCTGGAACGAATTCCTTTTTAAGGAACGGCAAGTTGAACGAATTCCTTTTTATAAAAAAAGAACGAGGAAATGAACGAGGAAATGAACGAGTTCTTTTTTTCGAGGAAAAAAAACGAAATTTTTCGTTCCTTTCAAGTTCCAATTTACACAGATATATGTATAAATAATTGAAATTCAAATATTTTTTTCTTAGTGTGTATATTTCCAATATTATGATCGTTATCGACTATCGAGTATCCGAGAATCAAACTTAAACGTTAAAGTTAGTCATTAATCATTAGGTAGGTACTCTGGCACAGGGTACTCATTACTTATTATTAGTCATTAGTAATTTTATTAATATTTCTCATAAAATAGCATGAACACTGAAGGTTAAAAATCATTTATGAATTATTATTATGCGGGTCGGGACTATTGTAATACTTAGTACCTACAGCTAAAATGTATAATAATATATTACTATATTAATAAGAGATTACAATATTATTTTAATGATAATTATTTATAACAACAATAAAATATGATAAGACAGTTGACATACGTTGGCCAGCAATTTAATTTTAAAGAAAATCTCAAAATAGATTACTAAAAACTGCAGTCAGTATTATTAGTTTAATTATAAATTTACTTGTAGGTATATATAAGTATAATTAAAAATTAAAGTACCAAGTATATCTGCTAAGAAAAAAAATTGATGATTAAATCAGAATTTTTATTTTATCTGGAACTAAAAAAGGTACTAGTTCTTTTTCCAAAGGAACGACAAAGGATCGAATTCTTTTTTTTAAAAAAGGAACAAGGAACGGAACGAATTCCTTTTTATAAGGAACTTGACAAACACTGTCCACTACATATTACGATCTCAATTTTAATAGAAGAAGAAAAAACACATTTGTAATCATATTATTACTATCTTTATTAACCTGCGTTGTCCGGAGATAAGTGAAACCAAGAAGGGCAATCCACCTGCGGTGGATAGTAATAATTAATAATGAGTAACTTTTTTCTCGCGCAAACCACTGGCTATATGCCTGCGATGATGTAAATTGCAAAACTCCCAAACCATGAAGAAATAAACAAAAGTGGGTAAGTGGATGTCACTCTGCTGTACAGTAGGTTACAATTGGGTCAATGTATAAAGGATTGTATTAAACTTAAATTCAATGATATAATATCATTGTATAAGAAAATGATTCTGAGCGGAGACGGTTTGTCAGTGACTGGATATTGTTATTATTTATTATATCCCGGAAGTTGAATTTATATTATAATAAGTATTATTATTATTTATTCGTTTCTATGGTGATAGACAAAGCGTTAGAAATTAAAATCCCATTTTTGGCGGTTATTCATAGTTTGTCGGTACACAATATATAAAATCCAAATACCACTCACCCACTCATCACTACATCTTAAAAAGTACAAAACGTACGAACCTGACATTTGGAATAGTTGTTCCTTTAATGCTCTAGATGACGTGCAATAAAAAAGGATATTCCGATATTTGCATTTTAAAGAGATGACCAAACAGGATTCTTGAGATTCAAGGTGGAAATTTTAACATTTTTGTTTGTTTATAAAACGGTTACCATTGGTTGCAGATTATAATAATAGGTAATAGTAGAAATAAGTTTTTTTTTTTGTACATAAATAGTTGCCATTGGTTACTCGGCCTAATCAAGTAGGTATAATATACCTATGTATTATTGACAGCACAATTGTATTACGTTTCTCTAATTTCTGGCCAATGTAATATTTTAATGTGAAAGTTTACGTATAAATACCTTAATTTTGCATTGCAATTATTATTTTAAAGGAATTTGTAACGGTACACCACTAACTAAAACAGTCCTTTTCAGGACTACACAATATCGACCAATCATAACGCGCCATATAAATAATCAAAGTAACCAGAACTGTACTACTAAATATGAGTGATTTCAAAGTGGTTAACGACTTAACAAAGCACAGCCATGGATAGGGGAGATTAGGACGAATCTAACGAAACCCTCCCCATGGCTGTAACCAAAAAACCCAATGAATAAACCACAAACCCGTACCGACAGTAAACACAAGCATTACGGCGGCACACACGCTAGTTTACTAGTCGGTACGGCGCACGGGATATATACCGGTCGCTTCCCGACCACAATATCTTCTTCAGTCTTCAATCAACATTACCTCTTCTACCAGAACACACCAGTATCTCAGTACGAAGAAACGAAGACAGGAAGACCACCGAAGCGAACGACGATTAGCTGCAACCAGCAGTTGGGAAGCCACATCGCCGGAGACGCCGAACGAACCCACTCCCTCCGTACGGAGCGAAACCGCAGCTGAACAACTGCCAGAAGGAGCAACGACGGAAGCGACGAGCACCCGTAGTCCAACGGCTGCATTGACGAGAGACCGAACAAGGACCGGCGTTGCAATCCACAGAACAGGGCGACGAACGAGCCGGCGACAGAACACGCAGTTACGTCCCCGATCTCCCTCGGCCGCTTTTGAGAGCCTGCCTTCCCGGGTCCGATTCACGATAGCAGTCGCTTCATAGCTAGACACTATCCGTGGTCGACCCCCCATCCCTCGCTGTATGTCATACAACCATACCTACGACCCATATTGTAAATAGGACGGAGCATATAGCCCGTCGTGACGGAACGCCTTACCGACAGCTCGCTATCCAGCCCGGCTGTCGTGTTAGCGGACTGACCCCCCCTATACCACATTAACTGTATATATACTTATATAGAAATAAACAGAAGAAGTGATACCGATAGCTTTAGTATTATTATTTCACTTCCCACGAAACGAGCCAGAAGGCTACTGTTTCAAATTTGATGGACAAACATGAAGTGCAATATATTTTAAGAAATATTTTTCATTTTTTGCAATCTGTTCAAGAAGTCTAGTTATTGTTTATACCTACAAGACTAAGGTAACGGACACCCTATAAGACGGAAATCTCCCTAGAACGGAAAATAACAATACGTTCCCAAATAACCTATGTACCGTATATTTTAGTCTTCCTATAACGGAAAACTCTTTATAAACGAAAAATGTGTTGGTCCCAAGTGATTCCGTTATAGAGAGGTTTTACTGTATATAATTTAATATATTAGTATAATATGTAATATTATTACATATCTGTATTGGTTAGGACGTATATCAGAAAAATAATTCATAATGTAGTTTGTTAATAAAAAATTGACATACTAGGTACTAAGTTGGACATACTAAGTTGTTAAATAAATCAAATTAAATATATTTTGAAATAACTTTAAAAATACAAACACAATATTATACTAAAAATGCGTAAATAAATTTAGAAGACAAAATAATTTAATTGTTCTGCATGCGAATACTGGGTATGGGTTTATGCAATCCGAGATGTGGCTGTGACTTTCATAATTCCAAAGAATGGTATACTGGACAAAAGTCTGACCCTATGGGTTTGATTAGCCGTATTTATAGTATTTATTTGCACCTGTACTCTGTTCCAAAAGAGAACGGTCACTTTTCGAGCATACAACTTACGGCTACGGCAGTGCAAAGGCCCAACATCCCCCACCTTTCTAGCAGACGTTTCTCGAAGACGTTGACGATTGCCGGCTAGAAAGGGGGAGGGGAATTTTGGCCTTTGCACTGCCGCAGTCGTCAGTTGTTTGCGCGAAAAGTGACCTTTCTCTTTTGGAACAGAGTATAGATAGTGACGTGATCATAGATTTAGGCATTACCTACACTATTGTTGAAGATGCATGTACTTCAGTGGCGTACACACGGGGGGGGTGTTCAACCCCCCCCCCTTTAGTATTTTTTCAGTTTACGTAATTACGTAAAAATGTATAATAAAAATGATGACAATTTAAAAAAAATTAATAGTAGGTACTAATAAAAATAAATACAAAATTAAATTAAGGGAATTTCAGTGTTACCGTCACAATCGAGTTTCGATTAGAAATGTACGGCGAGAAGGTCGTCACTGAAGTTATTATTAGATATGGGATATTCAAAATTATATACTCCATTATAATATTATAACTTATAAGCAACCCAGTTTGTTGTTATAATATATTGTAGATATTATTGATAACTTGTTACAAATTAATGAAATTATTGGGAAATTTGTTCAAACACAAACATGAGGGTCGACAATCGTGTAATCCGATATAATATGCCTTAATAGCTATCGCAGTATCGCTAATACTATAGTATAGAATCTATTTCTCAGTTTTCAATCAAATTCCTGACGCTTTGGACGTTTAGTAAATTGTACTTACTGTTTAAATATTTTATCTATATAATAAAAAAAAGTGGCCATTTCTCGAATAACGTAGTTTCTTGAAAACTACTACTCAGATTTTCTTGAAATTCAACATAGATATTCTGTTTGAGCTCATAAGTATCAGTCTGAAGTCAAAAATGGCCTAGGTATTTCAGAAGTAAAAGAGTGTAAAAGATTTCAGAAGTGTAAAATCATTGGTTTATAAAAGAAAAATAAAGAGTGGCCAATTAAAGGTCAAATTATAATTTATAATTGCCATAGCAACAAATTAACAGTAACAATTCCTTTTTTTGAATATATACAAGATGCTCTTTGTTACGTTAGACATAATGGAAAGCCATGTTTATTCATTACATTTACATGTAATATTCGATGGACAGAAATCACCAATTTATTGTTGGCTGATCAGCAACCAAGTGATCGCCATGACTTAATAGCAAGAGTATTAAAATTAAAATTAAGAAAGCTAATCGATTTGATAACTAAGTGTAAGATTTTTGGTAATGTTATATCTTGGGTTTATTCAATAGAATGGCAAAAAAGAGGTTTACCACATGCTCATATTTTAATATGGTTAGAAAACAAAGTTCATCCAGATCGAATTGATAATATCATTTCAGCTGAATTACCAGATCCAGAAAAAGTTCCTCATTTATTTGACATAATAAAAAAAAATATGATACATGGACCATGTGGACAGTTGAATCCATTTTCAGTATGTATGAAGGATGGCCAATGTAAATGTAATTATCCTAGAAAATTACTTGATGTCACGAGATCAGATAAAAATGGATATCCTTTGTACAGACGAAGAAGTATAACAAATGGAGGTTTCCAGACTGCTATTAACGTTAAGGTTAATGATAAATACAAAAAAGTGAATATTGATAATCAGTGGATTGTGCCATATTGTCCACTAATCTCGAAAATAATGAATGCTCATATTAATGTTGAACTTTGTAGTTCAGTAGTTGCAGTAAAATACATTTTGAAGTATATACACAAAGGAAGTGATCAAGCCATGTTTTCGATAGAAAATAAAAATAATAATGAAATTGAGAATATCAATCAGGAAGATATATAAATAGTAACGAAGCAATTTGGCGAATTTTTGGTTTCAAAATTCATGATCGATATCCAAATGTGCAACATTTACATGTACACCTCGAAAATGGTCAACGTGTTTATTTTTCAAATGATAATGTAGAAAAAAAAGTTGAGAAACCACCTGAAACAACTCTAACAGCATTTTTTAGTATATGTCAGACAGATGATTTCGCGAAGACGTTATTATATTACGATATCCCAAAATATTTTACATGGGACAATTCGCAAAAAAAATTTAATCGTAGAAAACAAGGAATACGTCACAGTCCTGAGATCTTCCAATCTGACACTCTTGGTCGAATGTATACAATACATCCAAGTAATTCAGAGTGTTTCTTTTTGAGAATTTTATTACATAATGTTAATGGTCCAAGGTCTTTCGAATATTTAAGAACAGTAAATGGTATTACGTTCAAATCATATAGAGAAGCATGTCAACAGCTAGGTTTACTAAAGGATGATAAACATATTGGGATGATGCATTAGCGGAAGCAAATGAAACAAAGAAGTCGAGTAGTATAAGATCATTATTTTCAATTATTTTGACTTCATTGTAACCCATCGGATCCACAATCTTTATGGGAAAAATATAAAAAAAGTATAAGTGAAGATATATTATATCGGAATAAGAAATTAAATTGTTGTAAAGATTTAGATTATACAGATGAAATATTCAATGAAACTCTCATTATTATAGAAGATATGTGTTTAATAATATCAGGGAAAAATTTAAATCAATGGGGAATAACTCCTCCTTTTCGAACCGAAAATATATCAAAAGATTCAGAAATCATTCGTGAAACGTCGTATGATATTGAAAAACTGAATGCATATATCAATACTAATAAATTATTTTTAATTGACGATCAAAAAAAGGCATTCCAAACAATTATGAAAAACATTATAGAAGAAAAAGAGGGCCTTTTCTTTTTAGATGCTCCAGGAGGCACAGGTAAAACATTTTTATTGAACTTAATATTGGCAGAAGTACGAAAAAGTGGAAATATAGCATTAGCAGTAGCGTCATCTGGTGTAGCAGCTACCTTATTACATGGAGGACGTACTGCTCACTCAGCCTTGAAATTACCGATTAATTTCAATTTAACAGAAGAACCTATTTGTAATATTATTGATAATCCTGCAACATGCAAATTACTTAAACAAACGAATGTAATCATTTGGGATGAGTGTACAATGGCAAATAAAAAAGGACCAGAAGCATTAGATAAAACGTTACAAGATTTGAAGAAAAATAATTTTATAATGGGGAAAGTAATTGTCATTCTAGCTGGTGATTTTAGACAAACATTACCAATAATTTCAAGAGGAACACCAGCTGACCAAATACATGCATGTCTAAAAAATTCTTATTTATGGAAACATGTGAAAATAATTACATTAAAAAATAATATGAGAGTATTTCTTACAGGTGATACTAATTTAGAGAATTTTTCAAGATAGTTAATACTTCTGGGAGACGGAAAATGGGAAAGAAATGCAGATGACACGATCACATTTCCATCTAATTTTTGTCATATCTTAGATTCAGTTCATTCATTAATAATCCATGTTTATCCTGATATAGATAAAAATTATATCAGTCATGAATAGTTATATGAAAGGGCTATACTAGCGCCAAAAAATGACAGAGTTAATACGATCAATAATGACATATTAAACTCTATTCCAGGGGTATGTAACACGTACAAATCAATTGACACTGTATGTCATCCTGAACATGCTATATACTACCCTATGGAATTTTTGAATTCTTTAGAAATATCAGGATTACCATCTCATATATTAACGTTGAAAATTGGTGCACTAATAATGGTTTTACGAAATCTCAATACACCTAAATTATGCAATGGTACTCGATTATGTGTGAAGACATTAAAAAATAATATAATTGAAGGTATAATATTAACAGGATGTGGAAAAGGAGAACATGTTTATATCCCAAGAATACCTCTTAAACCAACTGATACACCGTTTGAATTTGAAAGATTACAATTTCCTGTAAAACTTGCCTTTTCATTCACTATTAACAAATCTCAAGGACAATCATTAAAAACTACTGGAGTTTATCTTGAAACACCATGCTTTTCTCATGGCCAATTGTATGTAGCATGTTCAAGAGGAGGTGATCCAAACAATTTGTATATATATTGTAAAAATAAAAAAACTAAGAATGTTGTTTATCAACAGGCATTAAATTAAACCATAGTCGTTATTTATTAAAATATAGATTTATTAAAGATTTGATAATTATTTACTTTACAATATTCTTTGAATTTGTTCATAGTATCTATAATTGAAACTTTAATATATTTTTAATTTCCATCTTGAAGGATAAACTGGATCCAATAATTTAAAATGTCATTACTAAATTTATTATTTTTTCTATTCAATTTCACGATACCATCACAATTACATACAATAGCGTTTGCAAAATATTTTAATACATTGTGTGTTGTCAAAATTAATAGCTTCATTAACATTTGGTCCAAGGTTGTATCCTCCATGAAACGATTATGGATGTGTTATTATGAACATTCCTGGTTTTTGTATAACTTTAGTATAAATAATTTTATATTTGTCAAAAAAATTTTCTGTGACGACAAATAATTTATGGCCAAGTAAGTTCTCGCAGAAACGGCCCAGGAAAGTTGTATTTATTTATTATAGAAATAAAACTATAATTTTTGAAGTGTACATGAAAAGACGACTATTTACTAACAAAATAAGAGAATGGTTTAACCTTTAACAAATTTATCTCTTTGATTTTTATACGAGTAGGGTGATTTTTAAAATGTGCTAGGTTCCAATGTGATTGGGTGCAATAATTTTTGTACATTTGGTCGAATATTAAATATTTAATGTCGGCTGCATTCAACTGTTATAAAAATTTTGAGACCATAGTAACGTAGTAAATAGAAAAACTTTTAACAACAGTAAAAAAATATTTAAACAACATTTAAATGAACAAGTAATGAATATAATATAACATCAAACTATCTTCAAATAAAAACATAAAAAAGAATTACTTAAGTGACACCTTAAAGAAGTTAATTTATCATGCCTGGTGATATGAAAATTGTGGATTTGATTGATAATATAAAAAAGTAAAAAAACCAATAATTAACAAACAATATTTCATATTATTATTACTCAACATATTATCATAATTTAATTTATCAGTTGGAAAATTACTGCACGAATTCAAAACAAAACATCAGTCAGAAAATTTAAAAGAAATGGAAATGAAACTAAAGTCTTCAATTTAGATATTATCGATAATAGCGGAGAAATAAGATGCGTTATATTCGGTGATAATGTTGAAAACTTGTATGATATTTTTCAGGTATTGTGTATATTTATTTTGTTAATGTGTAATATCATAATAACAAGTATGAAATGATACTGTAATAATCCATAATTTTTGGATACAAAAAATATACACTATAACTAACGGTTTCGTGAAAAAAACTAATAAAAAGTTTAATGATTTAGATCATGAATTTGAAATAATCTTAACAGAAAACTCTAAAATTATAGAATCGAAAGAAGATGAAAATATACCAAAAATTGATTTCAATTTTATTAAAATAAAAGATCTAGCTAATATAAAAAGCAATTCTTTAACAGGTATTTCAAATATAATTTTCAAAAATATAAAAAAAGAACAGACGAATCGTTATTTCCCCATTTCAGATATTATAGCGATCATCAAAAGTATAAAAGGAATAAAAATATCAACAAAAAATGGATTACAATTAAAGAGACAAAATATAATTCTTATTGATGATTCACAATCTAAGGTGATGTTAATTAAGATATACAAATAAAATAACATAAATGTATATTTTATGGAATAATACTGATAAAATTTTACAGATATCATTAACATTATGGTCAGATCAAATAAATGATTTTGAAGGAGAAAAAGGTGATATTATTGCTATGAATAATATCAAAATTAATGAATTTAATAACATTAAAAACTTAAATTTAGTTCGTTCAACTATTGTTATTATAAACCTTAAAATACCAGAACAAAAAGAGTAAGTAAAAAAGACTATAAATAAATAACAATTAATAACAAATTTACGATCATTTCAGTCTCGAAAAATGGTATAGCAAAGAAGGAAAATATATCAATGAAAATGAATTTAGAAACTCTTCAAGTCAAGATCAGAAAACATATGATTTCAAAAAATTCAAATCAATATACAATAGTCCAATAAATACCATAATTGGTAAGTTTATGAGAGACATTGTGAATTAATAATTGATAATAAACATTCATTGTTCATTCAGATATTATCGACAAAATCTATGACATCAAAAAAACCGAAAAAAATTAGCACAATTCATAAGGAATTTGAGAAAAGAGAAATAATTTTAGTTGACAACAAAGATAATAAAGTATAAAGGATTTATACTTTGATTATTTATAAATTAAATTAAACTTAATTTAAAATTATAGATTGTTGTGAACTTATGGAACGAAAGCAAAAAAAATGATATTGTATCAAAAAAAATGAAAAAATGTCAAAATCGGAGAATATCACTATGAAAAAAATCTTTCATTAACAGCTCATTCCATAATACAAATAAATCCGAATATTCTAGAAGTAGAAATGTAAATATATTAAAAAATAATTTTTTATATAATTTAAAAGAATGGTTATTTTTAGATTCACTAATCATAATAAAGACCCAGGAATCGAAATGGAATTTTTCAACACAATACAAATTATAAAAAATATGGAAATTGGAACAATAATAAGTAAGAAGTATATAAAAATAATAAACCAAATCGTATAATATTTTATATTATTTATAATTATTTTTTATTATTATATTTACAGATATTATAGCTGAAGTCATTGAAGTAAATAAAGTAATTCCTGTATTTTCACAAAAAAACAATAAAAACTTTACTAAAAGAGATATACTATTGGCTGACTCCTCAAAAGAAACAGTATTAAATTGGAATATTATAGATATATCGTTATTAAATGAAAACAAAATAATGATAATGAAATTATTTCACAGATAATCCTGACGGTATGGAACGAAGAAGCTGTAAATTTGGCTGCAACTCATTTGCGCACATTTACCTTTTTTACAACTCATTTGCGCACAAAAACTTAACTCATTTGCGCACAATTTACGAACAATAGAAACCTTTTTTCCAAAAATTTTATCCACGTATAGGGTGTACATAATCTCCGTACAACCATATTTTTGATTTGGTCAATACTGATAGTGGACTATTATTATACTCAAACAACATTTTCCTTCACCCTTTAAAAGGCTTAGGAGTTTCTGTCTCATCATATTCTGATGTTATAGACTGGCGGGTTAAAAATGTTGTTTTAGCTATTACACATTATTCAAATTTTTGTCAAATTACAATAAATTAGGTTTAACGTTTAACAAAAATAGGGTAAGATATAGCAATAATATCAATAATAAAGATTAAAGCTTGTCCCACACGACTAGTGTACTTGGCGAGTATTAATGCCATTTTTGATTGATAAGAACTGATGTGAAATCACGTTATGCTTTAAGACTATATAAGGCTATATTGAAGATACTCCAATAACGGGTGATCATTGATATCAATAATATTGAACGTGTAACGTGTTGGACAGCTTAAGACACCCTGTACACCCAAAACTGTACCTAAAAGCTGGTTTCCATTGTTTACTATTTTGTGCGCAAATGAGTTGTCGTAAATTTAAAAAATATATTAATATGTGCGCAAATGAGTCTCCACCGTAAATTTTGTGGGAGAAAGTGGAAGTATTATTAAAATAGAACGAGGAAGAATAAATGAATTTTCGAATAATAAATATATTGGATTATTGCCTACATCTGTCATCACATACGGTTCAATAACTGAAAAAGAAAAGTAAATGACACTATTATTCACTATATTATTCAAAATGTATTTAAATTGCTGTTGCTTACATAGGTTTGAAACATGGTTATTATCTCAAGAAAATATTAATAAAAATAATACAATTAAACGGAAAAAAGACGAGATTGAAGACAACGAACAGCCATGTTGTTCGAAATCGTCAAAATAGATGTGTCGATTTTCTTCAAATGAATATAATATAAATAATTTAGTAATTTTGGGTTAAAATACTATTTTCATATTTCTATTTATGGAAAGAAATAAAAATTTTTTTTTTACTCACCGATAACCTCCGTTATTAATTTATTTTATTTGATAATTTGAATATATGTTATTATATCTTGTGCATGTACATACTGTTATAATTAATATTTTTTTTATTTGTATATTTAGTGTGTTTATTTATATGTTTGAGATATTTTTTTTGAACATTATGAAATGGCACATAAAACCAATATTCCATCAACCTGAACTATAGCGATTGTGAGGGGGTATGATTGAACAAATAAAATTGAGTATATATTTCATAATCGAGGGGGTATGGTTATAAATAAAAACAAGCCGGCGGAGCCGGGTTTTAGCCGCTAGTAAAACAATAAAAATGAAAAGAATAAACGAATATTTTTCTAACTCACTAATTTGTGATACAATTAACTCGGAGGAACCAGGTAAATATTTAATACATTATATTATCAACCTAGGACCTAGGTACAAAAAAAATGATTAATATGGTAAAAATAAATTTCTCTTTATACCTATCTTTTATTGAATTGTACGAGTATATAATATATTATTATATACACATTGTATGTACGCGTGTAGCTTAAAGCTTTGTAGTTATACTAAAAATTACCTGTAGGTAATAGGTATATATTTTTAAATAATAATCGAGAATTGTAAAAATATTTTTAATTTCACCTTAAGTCATTGCTAATGAGCCGATTACTCATTATGTACAAAATAATTACTATAGGTACATCGTTTTGATTTATCAATGTATAATATATATATATATATATGTATATAATTTTTTATATGAAAGCCCCCGCCCCATTGAAAATAGCTGTGTACGCCACTGATGTACTTGAATCTTTCATATATGAAAATAAAAATGATGGTTTTAAGAACAATTTATCTAATATATTATAATATTATTATGTGTGTACATTATTTTATACATTCATATATTATAAAACATAATACATAAAATAAACTTATTTCACACTAGTTTGCATGGATACTCATAATCTACTTTTACTTCAACAACAGTTTTTTAAATATTATTATA